GATGCAGTGAGTGTGTGGTGGATGCAGTGAGCGTGCAGTGAGTGTGGTGAGCACGCAGTGGGCATGCAGTGAGCATGTGGTGGATGCAGTGGGCACGCAGCGAGCGTGTGGTGGATGCAGTGAGTGTGGGTGGATGCAGTGAGCGTGCAGTGAGTGTGGTGAGCATGCAGTGGACATGCAGTGAGCATGTGGTGGATGCAGTGAGCATGCAGTGAGTGTGGTGAGCACGCAGTGGGCATGCAGTGAGCATGTGGCGGATGCAGTGAGCGTATGGTGGATGCAGTGAGCGTGCAGTGAGTGTGGTGAGCATGCAGTGGGCCTGCAGTGAGCGTGCAGTGAGTGTGGTGAGCACGCATTGGGCATGCAGTGAGCGTGGGGTGGATGCAGTGAGCGTGCGGTGGATGCAGTGAGCACGCAGTGGGCATGCAGTGAGTGTGCGGTGGATGCAGTGAGTGTGCAGTGGATGCAGTGAGCACGCAGTGGGCATGCAGTGAGCCTGTGGTGGATGTAGTGAGCGTGCAGTGAGTGTGGTGAGCATGCAGTGGGCCTGCAGTGAGCGTGCAGTGAGTGTGGTGAGCACGCGGTGGGCACACAGTGAGCCTGTGGTGGATGCAGTGAGCATGCAGTGAGTGTGGTGAGCATGCAGTGGGCCTGCAGTGAGCGTGCAGTGAGTGTGGTGAGCACGCAGTGGGCATGCAGTGAGCATGTGGTGGATGCAGTGAGTGTGCGGTGGATGCAGTGAGCGTGCGGTGAGTGTGGTGAGCATGCAGTGGGCACGCAGTGAGCATGGGGTGGATGCAGTGAGTGTGAGCTGCGCAGTGAGTCCAGGCCTGTGGGACTGTTTTGATGGCCTGTGTGAGTGGACATGGTGCCCCTGTGTGTGTGACACTGTGTGTGCCAGTGTGCAGCTCCAGGCGTGAGGTGGCGACCTCCCCTGGCTCTTCCTGCCCAGGGTATCTCAAGGAGGACAGGTGTTTATGCAGACCCCAGGCCCTCCTGACACTCCCGAGGATTCCTGATTCCCACGTGCCCTGTCCCCATGTGTCCCCCTCGGCCCCCAAATTTTCCTCGTTCTTCACCCAGGCCCCTGGTGGTATTGCCCCTGAGTCCGGCCTAGCCTCTCCCTGCAGCCCATCCCCTGGGCTGGGTGTGGGTGCCTGGGGTGTGCCAGATCAGTTCTGGCTGTGGGGAGGGTGCTAAGGCTGGGAGGAGGCAGGCGGTGGCCCTGGGCCGTGGCCCCCGTTCCCTGCTCCTGTCAGCATGGCTGCGGCCTGCAGGGGGCGGCACTGGGCAGCAGTGGCCCCACAGGACGGTCAGCACCCTGGCCTCGGCGGCTCCAGCCCTGTCCAGATCCCGCTGGCGTCATGCCCTCACCTACCTATCACAGTGGCCCAGGGGGGAGCCCCATCCTGCCTCCCCCTCCTTGCCGTGGCCCCTGCACTAGTGTCACGTGGGGGGGATACCAGTTGTGGGCCAGGACAGTGACATCGAGCTGGTGGCCTCTCATGCCTCAGTCTTGCCAGCTGTACGTGGCCCAGTGAGGCCGACCTCTGCCCCTCGAGTTTGTCTCCTGATGGGGTGAGTGGCCCGGGACCCCTGCGACCCTGCACAGAGGAGTCGGGGCACCGTCCGTCCTGCTCTGTCCTCCCCCCTTGTTTTGTCAGCACTAATGGAGGGGCCCAGACCCCCAGCTGGACGGGGGGCCCTGTGCTGTGGCCCGAGGAGACCCTGGTTGTTGGGCCCCAGCCTCTCTGCATCCCAACCTCCCCTCGAGGCCGGCAAGGGGTAAGCCTGGTTTGTGGGCCTGGCCTGGTCCCCACAGCTCTCAGAAGCCTGGGTGCTCCAGCCCCACCAGGACGAGTCCAGGCCCAAGGCCTCATCTGGGGTTACCTCTGTACCTAGAGGGAGCACCCCAGGATCCCTCAATGTGGGGGTGCAGAGCCAGGGTTCAAGCTCTCACCACAGCACCCCTAGATCAAGCCTCTTCCACCCCATCACTCCCTCATGCCCCGCGCCCCCCACCCCAGCACAGAGCACCGTGGGCAATTCCAGGTGCTGGCCCTAGCTGCCGAGGTCTCGGGCCGGGCCAGGCAGGACCGCCAGCCCCAGAACCCTCCGCAGGCTCTAAGACTTTCCCCGCCCCCCAGCTCAGCCCACATCTGGAACCTCTCCCCTGGACGGTGAGGTCAGCATGGAAGTTCTCGGTCCTCGCTCCCTAAGGAGACGCTGGGCGGCTTCTGCTGGGCGGGGCGGATGGTCGAGCCCAGTGCAGCAGGCCTGGGGCCAGCTCTCCTCTCTGGGCCCCACCCACTGGCTCCCGAGTCAGGAGTCAGGCCTCGTGGGCGTCCGAGGACAGAGGAGCCCGCGTGGAGACGGTGTTGCTGTGCAGCGGCTCCGCCTCACGGATACCCCAGTGCAGGACAGCCCTGCTCCAGAGGGTACTCGAGGCGGGCCCTGGAAACAGACCACCAGGCTGTCTCCCAAGGCACCTCCGAGCGAGTTCGAACCGCCCATCTCGCGGCCAGTAGCCAAGCACTTAGTTTTTGCACCAGGGGCTCCCTGGAGGAGGTGAGGAAGTTTGAAAGCACCATGTGCCATTACACAGGTGGGGTAACTGAGGCCTAGGGGAGGCGCAGGGGCTGGCTGGGAGCCGGCCCGAACGGGCACTAGAGCTCTGGCCTTCCGGACCCCTTTTAGGCCCCTTGTAGAACCTTGCCCATGAGTCCTCGTAAAGCCTGGAGTCGCCCATGGCTAGAGGGCAGACCTCAGGCTGGCGAGGGCCCCAGGGCTGTGGGAGAGGGCAGTGGGGCCCCCACGGTGCAGCGCCCCCTCGCCTGTCTCTTCTGTGTGCTTAGCAGCTGCCCAACCACCGCCTGTCCCATCAAAACGTGCCTGCCCCAAGTCCCATCTTCTTAAGCCCAAGTCATGCACTGAGGCCCTACTGCGCACCAGGAGCTGCCTGGGACACTGATAGATTTGCTCTGCAGGCAAGGAGGCAGGTCTATGCCTGGTAGGGGGGCCCTCCCATCCGCCTGCACACACAGGTACAGCTGACACACAGTAGGTCCCCTGGCTCAGGCCACATGGTGGCCCCAGGCCGGGAGAGGGAGATTCGAGTGAATGCAGGGAGCTGACCCATCCTGATGGCTCATCAGCTGCCCACCTACTGTGTGCTTGGTGCTGGGCCGGGTGTCCTCGATCATTGCTCCGCAGGTGGGACACTGTGCCGTGTTGCTGAGGGAAGAATGCAGCTGGCTGCTGGTCACTGACTCGTGTGCAGGCCCCGTGCTGGGTGCCAGGGGCCAGTGGGGAACAGGGAGGGACACATCCTTGTGCTCACATGAAATGACCCCAATCATTAATGGTAAAAGGAGGCAGTATGTGGGGAGGGACATCACATATGCTGAGGGGACTGGGCCTGCTCTGGGGGTCAGGGAAGGCTTCCTGGAGGAGGCGGCATTTGAGCTGAGCCCAGAAGGATGCAAGGAGCTGTCCAGGTGAAGGGAAGAGTTTTCCTGGCTGAAGGAACAGTGTGTGGAAAGGCCCTGCGGAAGGCAAGTGTCGGGGGTCTGAGAGGGCCGGAATGGGGATGGGGATGCACCCCCTGCTCCCACCCCCACGCCTGGCTGGAGTCCAGCCCTTCCTGGCCTCACCTGCCAGGGTCCCCCTCACCCTGGTGGGGCAGCCTCACCATTGTCCATGCTTGTGTTTCCTTACCACCCTTGCCCGGGGGGTC